TAAGCTTTCGTGGGTAAGAACCTCACTTGCATCTGAAGAAGTGAGGTTCTTACCCACGAAAGCTTATGCTCCCAATACTTCTGTTAGTCTTAAAGGTGCCACGGGACCCTCTGTTACTGTACTAAGTTTCTCAAGAAGAGCAACAGTTTTAAAATATTGTTATTGTAAATGGCGATGTTAGAACATAAACAAGCCTCCTATTCAGTGTTCCTCAGTGGACCTTAATTTTCTCTTTTTCTTACCATTTATATATCTATATTTAATATGCAATTACATTTTTTTAATTTAACAGAAAAAACGCAAACAAAATTTTTTCTCATTTTTGTTTTCTAAAGACAATATTTGCATGTCTCGTGTTCCTCTATCTACTCTTGATAACAACTACACCTGGGGAAATTCTGTGCCACTGTGCATGTGCAGAATTCATGTGTCCCGCAGAATTTTATTTTTTTCTGCAGAAAATAGTCTGCCCCAGAAGTGTTGCAGTTCTACCTTTTGCCCACCAGAGGCCACTGTGGTGCCAGAACAGACAACAGCATGAATGCAGCAGGCTGTTCTGGTGCCACAACGGCCTTGTGGTGGTCAAGAGGTAGAACTGCAGCACTTTGTATTTTCTGTGGGGCAGAATGTATTTTCTGTGAGGAAGAGTTCTCTGTGTGCGCAGTGGCAAAAAATTCCCCCATTTCCCCCCCTTCTTATCCCCTCCAAAAAAACACTTGTTCCATATTTCCCCCACCCACATCCTAAAAACCTCCAGGTTCACTCCAGGCTCCTTCCCTCTCCCGCAGCTCCTCCATTATCCCTGACACCCCCAAGCCTTTCCATTGCTTGGCATTTCATTCCATTGAAAAATCATGGAGCAGGTCCTCAAGGAATCAATTATGAAACACTTAGAGGAGAGGAAAGTGATCAGGAAAAGTCAGCATGGATTCACCAAGGGGAAGTTGTGCCTGACTAACCTAATTGCCTTCTATGATGAGATAACTGGCTCTGTGGATGAGGGGAAAGCAGTGGATGTGTTATTCCTTGACTTTAGCAAAGCTTTTGATACGGTCTCCCACAGTATTCTTGCCAGCAAATTAAAGAAGTATGGGCTGGATGAATGGACTGTAAGGTGGACAGAAAGCTGGCTAGATCGTCTGGCTCAACGGGTAGTGATCAATGGCTCCATGTCTAGTTGGCAGCCGGTTTCAAGCTGAGTGCCCCAAGGGTCGGTCTTGGGGCC